TAGATTGTTAATTTGTCTCAGAAAAAAATAAAGGTCACACTATGAACCCCTGCGGAATTTCATTACAAACTTTCCTCCAACTCAAAATATCTGATGACTTACTACTCTATTACCTGTCACTCAGCCAATTTTGTATCTATGTTGCTATTGTCCCCTTTTTAATCTGTGGTCTACCACTGAAGTCTGACACTATCAAATGTATTTTAGAATTACATGAACACTTTCTCAACCCCTCTCTGTTACTTTTAATAAAAAAAAAAGCTCAATCAAGTTAGTTAGATGTGGTTTTCCTTCAACTCAACCATGCTGGCTCTTCCAAATAACACCTTAACCATGGCTCTTGCCTCCATGGAAATTGGAAATTTTGGGGTGGGGAGAGGTGCTTTAGTTAAGGTTTACTGCCAGAAACACACTATACAGTGAGAGGTAAATAGGGTATAGATTGAGCGGCACAAAAACAAAGTTGCTGGAAAAGCTCAGCAGGTCTGGCAACATCTGTGAAAGAGAAAACAGAGTTAACGTTTTGGGTCCGGTGACCCTTCCTCAGAACTGATGGTGGCTGGGAAAACGTCAGTTTATATGCAGAAAATAGGGAGGTGGGTCAGGTAGGGAGTAAAAGATAGGATAGAGCCCAAAGAGAGAGAAAGACAGTTGGACAGACAAAGGAGTTGCTAACGATCAGGCTGGGAGGGTGAATAGTTGTTAATGGGGACTGTTAGTGACTAGCAACAGGGGGGTGTGTAGTGGCAGGCTATGTGGTAACAAGACCTGGTGTGTGGGGTGTGGGGTGAGGGGCTGGGACATGGGAGAGTTTAGGCCCTAAAATTATTGAACTCAATATTGAGTCTGGAGGGCTGCAGGGTCCCCAAGTGGAAAATGAGGTGTTGTTCCTCCAGCTTACGTTGGGCTTCACTGGAACACTGCAGCAAGCCAGAGACAGATGTTGGCCAGAGAGCAGGGTGGTGCATTGAAGTGGCAGGCAACAGGTAGTTCAGGGTCTTTTTTGTGAGCAGAACGTAGATGTTCTGCGAAGCGGTTGCCGAGTCTATGCTTCGTTTCCCCAGTGTAGAGGAGACCACATTGTGAGCAGCGAATGCAGTCGACTAGATTCTGGGAAGTGCAGGTGAAGTGTTGCTTCACCTAGAAGGTATGTTTGGGCCCTTGGATAGTGGGGAGGGAGGAGGTAAATGGGCAGATGTTGCACTATACTTCAGTTCATTATACTGTAGTTCAGGTCTGGATTGTACATCCTCACACCCCACTTCCTGGAAAGACTCCATCCCATTCTCTCAGTTCCTCTGCCTCCGTCGCATATGTTCAGATTTGGCCACCTGCGGCAAGGGAGCCTCCAAAATGTCCACCTTCTTCTGCAACCGAGGATTCCTCAGCTCCATTGTCGACAGGGCCCTCAACCAGGCCCGCACTTCCGCCCTCACCCCTTCTGTTCCCTCCCACAACAGCGATAGGGTTCCCCTTATCCTCACCTACCATCCCACCAGCATCCACATCCAGAAGGTCATCAGATGCCATTTCCGCCACCTCCAGCGGGATACCACCACCAGACGCATTCCCCCTCCCCTCCCTTGTCCGCCTTCCGCAGGGACTGTTCCCTCCGGGACACCCTGGTCCACACTTCCTTAATCCCCAACACCTCCCCACAGCCCTACGGCACCTTCCCCTGTAACCGGCTGCCAGATCTGCTGAGCTTTTCTATCAGCTTTGTTTTTGTTCCTGATATACAGCATCCGCAGTTCTTTTGGTTTTTATACAGATTGAGAAGCATACTTGCATTGAATCTAACAGCAGCATGGTATCACAAGTGCAAGAAAAAAGCTGTTTGGCGTGAAACTATATCTTGGGAAGTCAGAGAGGCAGCAGGACTTGCATGGGAGCAATTCTGATTGGGAGGCTTTCAGTCAGGGTAGCCACTCCACTCGTCTTGGCATGGAGAGGCATTGGGACTGCAAGGATGTAACTCATGCCACACTTTGAAACAAAGTGAAAATAAAAAGGGTGATATCATAGGAAAATAACAAGTTTATTGGTTGGTTAAAAAACTGCTGCTAGACATTATCTACAAATTGCTGTAAATTAGAAAAGTAGCTGAATTTAGATCTAATTGAAAGTTAATGCCAATATAAGCTAATGAAAGTAGTTGTCAAGTCCGGTATTTGTTGCCCATGAAAGTAATGTAAGGGAAATGAAGTTAAGACTTGACATTTCTAGAGACTTGAGGCAAGAACTTTGCATTGTGACAGATCTGTTTGAAGTGAGATAAGATTCGTAGTGTAATTAATATTCTTTTGAAGCGAGTAGCTAACCAGCTTAATCTAAAGGGAAGCCATGTTGGCAGAGCTAAGACCTGTGACATTCTGCTGTGCTACGTAGGGAGTCTTGGACATTTTGTGTTCCTAGAAACCATGTGAGTGCAGGAAGTATGTTCAGCTGCACCTATTGGCTAATTGCATTTTGCAGCTGGAGCAGCGGGAGACTTGCATAGGAACATCTGTGACGTGGATAGCATGTTCACTAGGACGTTCACACTGCAGGTAACATGGCTGCCCCACTCTCTAATAAACATATGGCTTTGGAAGCTGGTGAGGATGACTTTGAGAGGATAGCAACTAAAACAAAGTCCGTGGCACCATGGGTTGCTCTGGTGCATGCGAGGGAAGTGAGAAGAATGGCAAAGGTATAGTGATAGGGAATTGAATTGTAAGGAAATCAAACAGACAGGGGTTTCTGCAGCTGCAGAAGAGTCTGTAGGATGGTATCTTATCTCCCCAAAGTGGCTACAGGGTATTCTGAAATGGGGAGTGAAAAGCTAGCAGTCATGATACCTATCAGTATCAACCACACAAGTTTAAGAAAAATGCGAACCTTCAGGTAGAATATAGAGCGTTGGGACATTACTTGGGCAGCCCTACTTCTTTAAATTCAATCTCAGGATATGAAAGTAGAGATAATAAGTCATGCCAGATGGCTATGTGGCTAGAGAAGTGGTGTAGGAGAAATTGATTCGGATTCCTGGGATAATAGGACCAGTTCTGGGGAAAGTGGCACCAGCACCAGCTGGAACAGTTGCTGGGAGGGGGAGCTTTTTTTCTAGTGCCGATCTTTTAAACACAGCAAGTATTTGGGGTTTGAAAGCTTGAAATTGTGGTGGTGAGTTCTTTAAGGCAATCATGAAGGCATTGTTTCTAGTCAAATAAATCATCCACGTACAAGGGGGTGGGGAAAAATGCAGCAGAATGGTACTAAGCCACAATGCTTATTTGAAGAGACTACATAAATGATGGGCAAATGTCTTCCTCTTGCACAGTGACAACTCTGATTTTGAACCCCTAGTTGTTTGTTTGCTTTTCTAAAAACAAAAGCTATCCTATTTAAATCGCTGCATGGCCTGCCTTCAAGTTCTTTCTACGACTTGACGGGGTAGATGTTGAAAGATTGCTTCTCTTTGTGGGAGAGATTAGGAGCAGAGGGTCTAATCTCAGAATAAGAGGTCACATTTAAGACAAAGCTGAGGAGGAATTTCCTCTCGGAGATTGGTAAATCTGTGGAATTCTTTATTAGAGAGGCCTGTTGAGGATGGGCCATTTTATTACATTTAAGGATTAGATAGAGATTTTTAATCAGTAGGGGAACAAGGATTATAGTGAAAAGACAAGAAAATGGAGTTGAGGATTATCAAACTATCCATGATTTAATTGAATGGCGGAAAAGATTCCATGGACTGAATGGTCTATTTAGTAAATTTAGTCATATAATTTTAATCATATAAATTTAGTCTATTTAGTCATATAGTAAATTGCAAGTAGTAATTAAGTTATGAAAGGTACTACTACAGCTCCATAGTTACTAGCTGCTCAACACTTCAGTGTACAAAGTAGAAGGTTGACTAATTTCATAGGTTAACCAATCGTACTGAAAATTACAAATAGCATTCTCGCCTGTTTTCCCCAAATCAAATACATAACACACTGCACACAATTAATGTATTTTTACTAATATCTATTCAATTGCATTGAAATGCCCTACATGTTAAATGGAACAGTACATATACAAGTACCAGCATTTGGTACAGAAACCTGATCTGTGCATTCACCAAGTTTGGGCTGAAAGTCAGATAAATTGGGGTATTGTGCATACTTTTCTTTAAAAAAGAAAAAAATCTTTAACTTTTGGTACAGCTCTGGGAATAGTCTTAACACATGTTACTCCAGTGAGTTGTAACACTACTAACATTTCCAGGAAATTTGCTAGAGTTCCTCAATGTAGAATCCTAAGCCCAAACATATTCAAGTGCTTCATTAATTACCCTTCCCTTCATGAAGTGTCAGAAGTGGGGATGTTTGCTGATGATTGCATGTGGTCACTTTGGTTTGTGAATACTCAGGTAATTAAATAGTTCACGTCCAAACACCTGGACAGTATTCATGCAGATCTGATAACTGACCAGTAACATGTATTCAGCACTGGTGCCAAGCCACGACCATCTCCAACATGAGAATCTAGCCGTCACCTCTTAGCATCCAGTTCTTTGTTACAATTTACTTTGTGCCACTACCTGCCTTCTCCCTTGTCATCCTGGACATTCTTATTGAACTTTGGAACCAGTTTGCCCATCGGGGTACATGCTAACTGCTAGAAGCTGAATTAATGTTATACTGTTTGATTTCATATTGAAGATTTCCAACAAATCAACAGAGGATGGATTAATGCAGTCAGTTTGAGTTCATGTTTGAAGGAAACAGTATTGCATTGTCAATGGTTTTGTGGTAATATCCCTGCCTCTAAGCCAAAAGGCCTGGTTTGAATGCCAGGTGTGTCAAAGCATTTCTGAACAGTCCAAACCTCCTAAGTTTATTCAAATATTTTGTTTACGTTTTCTTTGTAATTGCTGGTGTGTATTGTGGAAGTTGACCAGCTTTGGTGTCAGTTAAAAGTTTGAGCACATGCCTACAGTGATCATAAATGTTTGATTTTTTCCTTTGCAGAAATAACCAAAATAGAAGCAGGGGAGGGAAGCGATGAAGAGAAGTTTGTGGATGTGGTCAGTAACAAAAACATGAAGTTGGCTCAAAAAGTATTAATTCCTGTAAAGCAATTCCCTAAGGTAAGGAACTTTTAAGTACATTCATGAGCCAGGCGTATTTTCTGAACATCAGTGGGTTTAGAGGTGATGAGCTATGAAAATCATAAGGGATTAATTCGTAAGAGCATAAAAATTTAAGACCAGATGGAGACCTTTCAGTCCCTTGGTCCTATTTTGCCATTCAGTAAAACCACCGCTGATCTGAATATGGCACATTTCCCATCTATCCTCAGATCTGTCCATCCCATTGCTTGTCAATAATTTTTCTACCTTACCTTTTTAAAAATATTCAAACATTTCTGTTTCCACCATTTTTGAAGAAGGGTGTTCCAAATTCTTATGCATTATCTGTGTCTTAAATGGATGAGCATTTATTTTGAACTAGTGGGCCCTAGTTCTAGATTCTTCCACAAGTACTGTCCCTTCTCACATCTATTTTTGACAAAACCCCTCATGGCTTACTATGTTCCAATCTAGTCACCTGTTGCTCGTCCAAACTTGGACAGGTTCAGGCCTAGACTGTCCACCTATTCCTCGTAAGACAATGCATCCGTTATAGGTATTAATCTATTGGACCTTGCCTGGACTGCTACCATTGTCAATATATCCCTTCTTTACGAAGGGAACCCAAACTGGTCACTATTCTAAAAGGCTTCTCAGTGCCTTTACAGTTTTAACAAGACTTTCCTATCTTTATAGTCCATTGCCTTTTGAAATAAAGGCTGACATTCTGTTTACCTTCCCTATTTTGTGCTGATTTTGTAAGCTAATGTTTTGTGAGTCATGTATGAGGAACAGCCAAATCCCTCTGTGCTTCAGCTCTCTGCAGCCTTTACCCACTTAAACCATATTCAGCTCTACTGCTCTTGCTGTCGAAGTGACCTTGTATTTTGCCACATCATATTCCTTCTGCCATTTTTTTTGCCCGTTCCCTTGATCTGTCTGTATCTGGCTGTAGGCTCTGTGTCATTCTCACTATTTGCGTTTCCAGCTTTTCTTTTGTTATCTGTGAATTTGGTGATAGTCCGTTCATTTTTCTCATCTAAGTCATTAATATATATTGTAAGTAATTGTGTCCCCAGTCTGATCTTTGTGACATTCCATTAGTTACAGTTTGCTACCCTGATAAGTCTCCTTTTATCTCCATCCTCTGTCCATGTTAGTACAACACCCAACAGCATGGGCTCTATCATTAAGTAGTCTCATGTACCGTACCCTATTAAATACCTTCTGGAAATCCAAATACTGTTCCCATTTATCTACCTGCCTGTTACCTCAAATAATTCAAATAAATTTTATCAGGCATGATATCCCTTTCATGAAGCCATCCTGACTCTGCTTGATTATATCATGTACTGCTATTGCATCCTATATAGTTGACTTAACATCTGTCATTGGATAAATATTTATGCTAATTGACCTGTGTTTACCTGTTTTTATTCTGCCCTTTCTTGAATAAGAGTGCCACATTGACAGGCATCCAATCCTCTGGAACTTTCCAGAATGTAAAGATTCTTTGTCGATTACTACTACCTTTTAGTATCCTGGGAGACAACTCAACTTATCAGGTCCTGAGACACTCTGTCTTTAACTCTATTAGTTTCCCTAGTACTTTTTTCCCCAACTTCTGCGTCTCTGAACTCTACAATTTCTCACCATTTACATAAGGTTCCCTTTTTGTTCTTCCTTGCAAAATGGACAATTTCACCTATTCAACTTTAAGTTCCATTTTTCCAGTTACTTGCCCAGTCACTTACCTCTGATCCCTCTGTGGTATATTTATGTCTTCTGCACAACTTATTTTCCTACCTATCTTTGTCATCAGCAAAAATAGCAACCGTACCATTGATCCATTCATGCAAGTCTTTATATAAATATTAAAAGGTTGAGGCTGTAGCACCAATCCCTGTGGTACAGTCTTCATTACATCTTGCCAACCAGAAAAAAATCCATTTACATTTACTGTTGTTTCTTGTTAGCTAGGCAATCTCCCATCTATTCTAATATGTTACCCTCTATACCAAGGCTTTTATTTTCATTATTGACCTTGTTGATATGTAACCTTAACAAATCTCTTCTGGAAATCCAAATACAGTACAGAAGCCAATTCCTAGTGTGAACAGTAGTTAGTGCAGTAGTTAAGGGATATTACATTCTTAGTCAGTGTAGTCCTGGTTTGGGAAGGGAAGAATCTATTAGGAGTTCTTCCACGGGAGTGCACAGAAACAATTCTGTAATGCTAGAAAAATATTATAATTTATAAGATAAATAATTTTTGTCTCAGAATTATTTCACTGATTTCATAGGTTGTTTTCTTGCTTCTCTCTAATATTTGAACAGGGAAGATAGATCAAAGCAGTTTAATACTGGGTCACCACTACTGGAACTTCTTTTTTAAAAACGCTGTATCAAATGAGAAATTAATACCACAATTGTTATGTCTTCAATCTGAAGAATGTGCTGATAATCAAGTGCCTCAAATTCACCAGTCGCACCATTTCATAGAAATGTTGGCTCAGTTACCGTAGAGAAACTTTCTTTTTATTACTCTCTCTTGTATTACTATCCAAAGTGAATGTCCAGCAGACTTCTTCAATGAACTCTGAATAATCCATTCATTATGATCAAAACTTATTGTTAAAGCAAGTGGCAAATACTGTTTAACGTCTCCTCTATCATCCAGAATTAAAACTGTATTCCCTTAATCTCTCACACACATGCCAACATAAATGCACAGAAGACCAAAAGACCAGTCTCTTCCGAGTTGATGGTTTCAAGACAAAAAGTCAAAGAAACAACCTCCTGTGAGCCCAGGATTTGGAAACAAAAGATAAAATATAATGACTTCTCACGCCTTACAGATTTCCTGCTGACAAAGCCGAATTGTTGACAGGTGCAGATTGATGTTAGACATCCAGTTCTGGTTGCCATTAACTTCGTTCAATCCCCAAAATCTTGAACTTTAGTCCACCCTTTCAGGTTTTACAAGGTAGACAAATATACTGATATTTACAAACACATTTTAGGTGCCTGGGATTTCAAGAGAGAAATCTGCAGCCTTAAGAGTGTCTTCTTTACATGGGCTCATGGGTCTGCAAAAACAGATTCAAAAACCAGAAACTGTTGCAAGTCAAGAGGAGCCGCTAATATTTTCAAGGCTAGGTTTCTCAGTAATCAAGGCAATAAACCCTGTTTCTTATCTGCTTGAAAGCTGTTTGGCTCTTTCTCTAGAGTCACTTTGGTTTACTTGCTGTTGACTGAAAATCACAATGCACATTAAACTGTTGACTTTGTTCCCATGAAATGCAGTGAAAATGCAAATGGTTCAAAATCTTCTAGGTTTTTCCAAAGGTTTATGTTTAAGGGCTGTATTTTCATAACACTGTTAATGCTGTTGGTTGTGACTAGCCTTAATTAGGAACAAACTGCATCTGAAATGATCTTGACTGGGATCATGCCCTCACCAAATAATACTGGCTGATTCATGTTTGCTCTAGAATTTAAAAGCTTCGAGAACATTTGCCATGGTTACTGTTTTAGATTCATGTTATGTGGTAATTCAAAATTGTAAATTTCTGTGCCTATATTTTATCTGCAGATTGAAAAGTACAATTTTGATTTAGTCACTAGTTGGAACTGAAAAATTAGATACAGTTGTATGAAAACTTATTTCAAGAAATTTTGTCAATGGTTGCTTGAACGTGTAGTTGAAAAGACCAAATGCTGTATTGGAATCAAAACATTGTTAGCTGTCATCAAGCCATTCAGTTTTGGCAATATGTACTTTTAAAGTCAAAATTCAGAGTTAATTCTGTTCCACAGGAACATTCAAAATGCGATATTCTAGATGGTTTGGTTCATCAGAGCATCCACCTAACTTGCTGTTTTAGGTACTTTTGGATTTGATATTCGGGGCTCATTCCTGATCATCTTGCCTGCTGGACTGTTAGTTGATGTTGAATGAAAGAAATAAGCAGCCCAGACTAGCTAGAATGCAATGATATGACTAGATACACCATGTGCAGCAAGTTGTCAAATCTGTTGTTGATTTTGTAACTTTGATTTAATGTTTGTGGGCTGATTTTTATCAAAGTGGTGGGAAACAGGCTTTGGATACAAGGTGGGGGATGTGAAGTTCATATTTTGACATGGATAAGCCTTTAATTGGAGTGGAGATGAGAATGGAAGCTGGGGAAATGAAATGAGGATCTCATTCATAATCTCCTCCCAGCCGTCACTGAAGGTGCTTATTGTCCTGAGGGAAGATAGAGTCTGTATTAAAATCTTTCACTGTATCAGAAAGATGACCTGTGTTGCTGGAGACCACCTAGAGCAGGGCTGCAACTTGTTTCGTTGATGTCGACCTGGATGTAATGCTGGCAGCAACAGGGGAGAGGAGGGCAAGTTAAATTCCAGCAGAATGGCAGAGAGTGACCACCTTTTTTGGCATTCTTGCTTTCGCTCTCTCATGTCTCTCACTTGTGCTCTCCCTCTCGTGCTGTCCCTCTTTTTCTCTTGCACTCTCTTGCTCGCGCTTTCTCGGTCTCTTGCTCGCTCGCGCTCTAGCTCCCTTGTGCCCGCTCTCTCAGGCTATAATAAAGTCAGGAGCTGAGTGGCCCTGGCAGAATTCAAACTCCGAATCCGTAGTACCAGGGCTTAAAATACAACTTTCATAAGCATGGTTTTGTGTGGCCTTGAGTATTGAAGATTTAAGAGTACATAATTGATAAAGAAATTCAGTAGGATAGATATATCTTCTGGAGCAGAATCCAGAACAAGAGAGCATAACTTTAAAATTAGTCATGCATTTTAGGTGTGAGCTAAAATTGTTGCGCTTCGGAAAAAGAGAGTTAAAATTTGGAACACTGATTCTGATATGGCTCTGGATTCAGCAACTATTGAGATATTCAAGGTTAGAAATTTTATTTTTTGTTTGGACTGATTTGGCTACGAAGCAAAGGCTTCACAGTGTTTGAAGTACAGATTACTTGTTATCTGTTGAATGATAACACGTTTGAGGA